ACACCACAAAGATACTTCTCAAGAAGAGCAACCCCAAGACACATAATCACCAGAATCATCAAGGTTGAAATGAATGAAAAAATCTTAAGGGCAGCCAGAGAGAAAGGTCGGTTTACCCACAAAGGGAAGCCCATCAGATTAACAGCAGATCTCTCTGCAGAAATGCTACAAGCCAGAAGAGAATGGGGGCCAAAATTCAACATTTTTAAAGAAATGAATTTTCCACCCAGAATTTCATATCCAGTCAAACTAAGCTTCATAAACAAAGGAGAAATAAAATCCTTTACCGACAAGCAAATGCTGAGAGATTTTGTCACCACCAGGCCTGCATTACAAGAGCTCCTGAAGGAAGCACTAAATATGGAAAGAAAAAACCAGTACCAGCCACTACAAAAATGTACCAAATTATAAAGACCATCGACACTATGAAGAAAATGCATCAACTAACAGGCAAAATAACCAGCTAGCCTCATAATGACAGGATCAAATTCAGACATAACAATATTAACCTTAAATGTAAATGGCCTAAATGCCCCAGTTAAAAGATACAGATTGGCAAATTGGATAAACAGTCAAGACCCATTGGTGTACTGTATTCAGGAGACCTATCTCATGTGCAAAACACACATAGGCTCAAAATAAAGGGATGGAGGAATATCTACCAAGCAAATGGAGAGCCAGAAAAAGCAGGGGTTGCAATCCTAGTCTCCCTAAAACAGATTTTAAACCAACAAAGATCAAAAAGACAAAAAAGGGCATTACAGGGATCAATGCAGCAAGAAACGCTAACTATCCTAAATATATATGCACCCAATACAGAAGCACCCAGATTCATAAAGAAAGCTCCTAGAGGCCTACAAAGAGACTTAGACTCCCACACAGTAATAGTGGGAGACTTTAACACCCCATTGTCAATATTAGATCAATGAGACAGAAAATTAAGAAGATATTCAGGATTTGAACTCAGCTGTGGACCAAGTGAGCCTAATAGACATCTACAGAACTCTCCACCCCAAATCAACAGAATATACATTCTTCTCAGCACCACATTGCACTTATTCTGAAATTGACCACATAATTGGACGTAAAACACCCCTCAGCAAATGCAAAATAACAGAAACCACAACAAACAGTCTCTCAGACCACAGTACAATCAAATTAGACTCAGGATTAAGAAACTCACTCAAAACTGCACAACTACATGGATACTGAACACCACCTACTCCTGAATGACTACTGGGTAAATAACGAAATTAAGGCAGAAATCAAGAAGTTCTTTGAAATGAATGAGAACAAAGAGAAAACATACCAGAATCTCTGGGACTCAGCTAAAGCAGTATTTAGAGGGAAACTAATAGCACTAAATGCCCACAGAAGAAAGCAGGCAAGATCTAAAATCACCACCCTAACATCACAATTAAAGGAACTAGAACAGCAAGAGCAAACAAATTCAAAAGCTACCAGAAGACAAGAAATATCTAAGATCAGAGCAGAACTGAAGGAGTTAGAAACATGAAAAAGCCTTCAAAAAATCAATGAATCCAGAGGCTGCTTTTTTGAAAAGGTTAACAAAATAGATAGACCTATAGTCAGACTAATAAAGAAGAAATGAGAGAAGAATAAAAAAGACACAATAAAAAACTGATAAAGCGGATATCACCACTGATTCCACAAAAATACAAACTACTACCAGAGAATACCATAAACACCTCTACACAAATAAATTAGAAAATCTAGAATAGATAAATTCCTGGACACATACACCCTCCCAAGACTAAACAAGGAAGAAGTCCAATCCCTGAATAGACCAATAACAGGCTCTGAAATTGAGGCAGAAATTAATAGCTTACCAATCAAAAAAAGCCCAGGACCAGATGGATCCATAGCCATCTTCTGTCGGAGGTACAAAGAGGAGCTGGTACCATTCCTTCTGAAGCTATCCCAAACAATAAAAAAAGAGGGACTCCTCTCTAACTCATTTCATGAGGCCAGCATCACCCTGATACCAAAACCTGGCAGAGACACAACAACAAAAGAAAAAAGAAAGAAAATTTCAGGCCAATATCCCTGATGAACATCAATGCAAAAATCCTCAATAAAATACTGGCAAACCATATCCAGCAGCACACTGAAAAGTTTATCCACCATGATCAAGTTGACTTCATCCCTGGAATGCAAGGCTGGTTCAACATACACAAATGAATAAACTTAACCCATCACATAAACAGAACCAATGACAAAAACCACATGATTATCTCAATAGATGCAGAAAAGGCCTCCAATAAAAATCAGCACCCCTTCACAATAAACTAGGTATTGATGGAATGTATATCAAAATAATAGGAGCTATTTATGACAAACCCATAGCCAATATCATACTGAATGAGCAAAAACTGGAAGCACTCCCTTTGAAAACCAGCACAAGACAAGGATGCCCTCTCTCACCACTCCTATTCAACATAGTATTGAAAGTTCTGGCCCGGGCAGTCAGGCAAGAGAAAGAAATACAGGTATTCAAACAGTAAGAGGGGAAGTCAGATTGTCTCTGTTTGCAGATGACATGGTTGTATATTTGGAAAACCCCATCATCTCAGCCAAAAATCTCCTTAAGCTGATAAGTAACTTCAGCGAAGTCTCAGGATACAAAATCAATGTGCAAAAACCACAAGCATTCTTATAGACCAGTAACAGACAAACAGCCAAATCATGAGTGAACTCCCATTCACAGTTGCTACAAAGAGAATAAAATACCTAGGAATCCAACTTACAAGGGATGTGAAGGACCTCTTCAAGGAGAACTACAAACTGCTGCTCAAGGAAATCAGAGAGGACACAAACAAATGGAAAAACATTACATGCTCATGGATAGGAAGAATCAATATAGTGAAAATGGCTATAGTGCCCAAAGTAATTTATAGATTCAATGCTATTCCCATCAAGCTACCATTGACTTTCTTCACAGAATTAGAAAAAACTACTTTAAATTTCATATGGAACCAAAAAAGAGACCACATAGCCAAGAAAATCTTAAGCAAAAAGAACAAAGCTAGAGGCATCATGCTACCTGACTTCAAACTATACTACAAGGCTACAGGAACCAAAATGGTACAGGTACCAAAATGGATATATAGATATATAGACCAATGGAACAGAACAGAGGCCTCAGAAATACCACCACACATCTACAACCATCTGATCTTTGACAAACCTGACAAAAACAAGCAATGGGGAAATGATTCCCTATTTAATAAATAGTGTTGGGAAAACTGGCTAGCCATATGCAGAAAATTGAAACTGGACCCCCTCCTTATACCTTATACAAAAATTAACTCAAGATGGATTAAAGACTTAAATGTAAGACCTAAAAACCATAAAAACCCTAGAAGAAAACCTAGGCAATACCATTCAGGATATAGGCATGGGCCAAGATTTCATGACTAAAACACCAAAACCAATTGCAACAAAGCCAAAGTTGACAAATGGGATATAATTAAACTAAAGAGCTTCTGCACAGCAAAAGAAACTATCATCAGTGTGAACAGGCAACCAACAGAATGGGAGAACATTTTTGCAATCTATCCATCTGACAAAGGGCTAATATCCAGAGTATACAAGGAACTTAAACAGATTTAGAAGAAAAAAACAACTCCAACAAAAAGTGGGTGAAGGAGATGAAGAGACACTTCTCAAAAGAAGGCATTTATGTGGCCAACGAACATATGAAAAAAAGCTCATCATCACTGGTCATTAGAGAAATGCAAATCTAAACCACAATAAGATACCATCTCATGCCAGTTAGAATGCCAATCATTAAAAAGTCAGAAAACAATAGATGCTGGAGAGGATGTCAAGAACTTTTACACTGTTGGTGGGGGTGGAAATTAGTTCAACCATTGTGGAAGATAGTGTGGCGATTCCTCAAGGATCTAGAACTAGAAATACCATTTGACCCAGCAATCTCATTACTGGGTATATACCCAAAGGATTATAAATCACTCTACTATAAAGACACATGCACACATATGTTTATTGCAGCACTGTTCACAATAGCAAAGACTTGGAACCAACCCAAATGCCCATCAATGATAGACTGGATAAAGAAAATGTGGCACATATACACCATGGAATACTATGCAGCCATAAAAAAGGATGCATTCATGTCCTTTGCAGGGATATGGATGAAGCTGGAAACCATCATTCTCAGCAAACTAACACAGGAACAGAAAACCAAACACCGCATGTTCTCATTCATAAGTGGGAGTTGAAAAATGAGAACACATGGACACAGGGAGGGGAACATCACACACCAGGGCCTGTGGAAGACAGGCGGGTAGGGGAGGGATAGCATTAGGAAAAATACCTAATGTAGATGACGGGTTGATGGGTGCAGGAAACCACCATGGCGTGTGTATACCTATGTAACAAACCTGCATGTTCTGCACATACATCCCAGAGCTTAAAGTATAATAAAAAGGCCAGGTGTGGTAGCTCACACCTGTAATCACAGCACTTTGGAAGGCTGAGGCAGGCAGAACATGAGGCCAGGAGTTCAAGACCAGCCTGACCAATGTGGTGAAACCCCGTCTCTAGTAAAAATACAGAAATTAGCCAGGTGTGGGTATGTGCCTGCAATCCCAGCTACTCAGGAGGCTGAGGCAGGAGAATCGCTTGAACCTGGGAGGCGGAGGTTGCTGTGAGCAGAGATCACGCCATTGCACTCCAGCCTGGATGATAAAGCGAGACTCCATCTTAAAAAAAAATAAATAAATAAAAAATTAAAAAAAAGAATGGTATCAAAATATTTTTTCTTCCCTCTCTTCTTTCCAGCTGTAATGGTTGTATTAAAAAACAATGTTTAATATCAACAATACCAAACAAAATGTTTGTGTTCTAAGTTGAGTAAGAATACATCTATTTCCATTTTAAAACTACTTTAAATTAATGGTTTATTTTTTGTAATTACTTTTAAGTCTCAAATCAAATGTCATTTCCTCACTTTGGAATTTTAAATGCTTAATTATTTACATTGCACTTATGCTTGAAATTATTTCCTTTACATATTTACTTCTTATCTTATTTTACTACTTATTTGTTTATTCACTTATTTTTTAGTGATCTTGCCAGTTTTGTTTGTCATCACTGTATTAACAGCCTGGTTTATAGAAGACATAAAGTAATCATTAAGTTACTAAACACATTAACTGTTGCAAAAAAGCCATTGCTTTGATACCTATAAAATGTACCAATATCTTGAAATTAAAGAATGATGGATTATTCCGTGTTATCAGGTGTCAGCAATTGACAGAACCAAGGCATTCCCTGGTCAGGGTTAGGCAAATACTTAGCTGAGTCCTGGGGGTTTCAAGGCAGTAAGGTATTACGGCTTCCAGCTTCAATCAAAGCAGTTCTCACTGCTTTTCACAGAGATGTTCTGCATAAGCTTTTGTTTGAAGAAAGAGTTCCATTGCTTAAAAACAGGGGGTTGGAGTACAGTGGTAAAAACCACTGTTCTAGGGAATTTGCAGCAAATGGTAGCCAAAATGAATTTACATTCTAAGTATATTTACTTTTCCCTTTAAAAGTCAATGTGCTATCTTATGAATGTTTTCATATTATAACGACATAAAATTATTTCTGCCTCAGTTTGAAGATTTGAACAATTTATGCTTTTTAGAATTTTAGAGATAAATGAAACACCTAGGCATCTAGATTCAGAAAATCTTTTACCTTTGGCTACATAAAAAACTGTAAGTTAAACCTTATATTGGAAAACTAGAATTTTGACTTCAAAGATTTGTCCTTCCACTGTGTTAATTTTATATTTATATTTTATTTCCTTCTCTACAGAGAGAGCAGGTAAAAACATGTTTAGTGTTCCTCGCTTCCAAGTTACATTTTATCTTGAGCAGATTTAAAACCAGATTAGCTGTAATAGGATTCCAGAATGTGGGCAGATGTCTACTTGTCAAAGACGATCTCTCTTGCAATCAGCTCCTTCATTATTTCATTTGTACCACCATAGATTGGCTGAACTCTGGCATCTACATAAGCTCTGGATAAATCAGAAGATGATTGAATGAATAAATAAAACATTTTAGAAACTGTAAATTTTGTCTTACCAGGTAACTCTTAAACTATTAATTTAATGAAGTACAAACCATAAAAGTCCTTCACAAATTACTAATTTTTTCAATATGGCATTCATCCTACATTGGAGTAATAGTAAAAAAACTATTAAGACGTTAATAGTATGTATAGCTTTGTATTAATTTGATTAAAGAGATTACAAATTCAAAATAAAAATAGTAAGTATATATCAGCTGATTTAATTTTGTAAAATTCAGCACATATGATAACACTCTTAAAAAGTCTGTTTTAGATTAGGAAAAGGACAGAATGTCTTAGTTTCTTTTTATCTTTAACATTTCCTAAAAAAGTTGAAATCTACTGGTTTTATAGAAAATGAAAGAAAAAAGATTCATATTTCCTAGCATTCCCACAACCACTATCACTATTAGGAATATAAACTGATGCTTTAGCAAATATTATTTCCCAGAAAGTTAACAAGTAACTTGTTTTTTGGAAATGGTTAATAGTCACTTCAGTGATGTGTGGAGTTAAAATACAAAGTGGCTGAGTCCATTGCCATACCCACCCACCCCCCGAAAAAAAAAAACAAAAAACCAAATATCATCAGAAGTTCACTTTTGATAGTCATGATAACGACCATGCCACTGTGCAGTTGTTTTTGTCTTTTCTCATCTCATTTTATCCTCTCAGCTCTGGGATTGGGGAGGGATAAATGTTAGTACTGTTTTCCTGGTAAAGGAACTAAGGTAGAGAGAAGTTAATACATTTCCTAATTAATGGTTGCTGTTTATTGGTCACTAACAACACATCATTGGCAGACTGGAATGAGGATGTAGCTATTCTGCCTCTTTTTCAAATATTTTTTTTGTATATCGCAACACTTTCATTGGCCAAAGCACTTAGAGCTAGTTATTGAACTTTGGACTTTCCTGGTAGACCCACTCGAAGGCTTTTTTTCTTTTTTCTTTTTTTTCTCAAGTATAATCTTGGTGTTTTGTTTTGTTTAAATTTGATTTTTAAGACAAATTAAATGTGCCAGCTCTCTAGGAACATACCATTTTTGGACTTTATTCTTCTCCATATTCATCAGGGTTCCTTACAAAGAAATGGGCACTCAGTAAATATTTACTGATATGATTTACTGTATTACAAAGGAAATTTAGAATCTCAGAACTTTTGGCTGAAAACGTTAAAAGCTTGAGATATTTATATTTTCAAACTTTTTTTCTGAATAGATTTTGCTATTCTCTACAAAATCTAGCACCTGCATTTTGAGCACTTACCTACTGTAAACCTACTTCAGCAATCGCACTGCGTTTAGATATATATATATATCTTTAAATGGGCTAGGCTGCTTTTTACATTAAAGAAGTTCCAATGGAGTAGATAAAGCAGAGATTAGTAGACCTTTGATATGTTACTAATTAAATTTAGTCATCAACTAAAATTAACAGTGAAAGGCAGCAGCAGAAATGTTTAACCACACTGCAATGAAGTTCTACATCTAAGGTTGCTCTTCCTAGCATGGCAGAGAAATCTTTAAATGGCAAAGCTTAAATCTCACTCCTCACAGCCTCGAGTCTAATGAGTAAGACTTAAATAAACCCACATGCTGAAGACCAGTTATTTAAAAAGACAAAAACAAAAAAACAAAATAAAAAAGCAGAGAAAGCACCTCTTATCTATGAAACCAATACTCAGCAACATATATATAAACTAATTAGTTTAGTCTGGTGGATATAAGAAACACAATTAGAATAACTTTTTTAAATCAAGTCATAGTCTCTACATTACATCCACATATTGCCTACTGTGTCTACGTGGCTTTTTTTGTTTTGTTGATTTGATTTTTGAGACAGAGTCTCACTCTGTCGCCCAGGCTGGAGTGCAGTGGTACAATCTCGACTCACTGCAACCTCGGCCTCCCAGGTTCAAGCAATTCTTGTGCCTCCGGAGTAACTGGGACTACAGGCGCCCGCAACCACGCCTAGCTATTTTTTTTTTTGTAGTTTTAGTAGAAATGGTGTTTTGCCATGTTTCCCAGGCTGGTATTGAACTCCTGACCTCAGGTGATCCACTTGCCTTGGCCTCCCAAAGTGCTAGGATAGCAGGAGTGAGCCACCGCGCCTGGCCTAAGTGGCTTTTTTGATATTAGGCGATACATGGGAAGAGAAATAGAAGTCTAGTTTAAAAATTCATACAATCTTTGAACAAACTGGCCAAGAAAGGTGATTATTGTTTTTTAAAGGGAATATAAGTCTCTCAAACTAAAACCAGAGATTTCAAATAAGCCATCAAGCTACAATGTTTGCTTGGTACCAACTTGAAGGAGTTGATTCGGAGAAAACAGAGACCAAGGCTTATGCCACACTCTAATCTTAAGCCATTTAGATGATTGCCTTCTCCCCACCTAATAGGCCCTTCTTAAATGTGAACTAAACCACACAAACATTGAGCCACTACATAGCTTCTGCTCTTAATGTAATTTTAGTAAAATATTTTTTCTCACTAAGGACTATAAGCATATTAAATGTTTCCAATTATACTTGCCAAAAAGATAAATTTGAAATCATTAGGCTGCCAGTTTGAATGTGGGTTTCATAATTTTTTCCTTTAGATACTTTATATTAAGATAAAAATCTTAAAACGTTTTTAGAAGTCTATAGCATTCTTACTCTCAGATTCAGAACAAATTGTACTTCTCTGTATAAACCAAAAATTTCCTTGGGAAAATTTTTCTAAACCAAAATCATTGCTAAATAATAAGAAAAATATATTTTCTAGGATGATAAGGAGAAAAGCTATGGGGAGACCTCTGAGGTGAAATACTATGTTAAGAGAAAAGGAAATTCTGGAGATTGAGGAAAAAATATGGATGAGGACACTGCCTATTTATAAATTAGTACTGCTTCAAACTGATAAGAATATTCATATACGATAAAAAGATATATTTGATTTTTTTCAATTTGAAGGAAATAAAAAATCTATTTAGAGAAAATAAAGATTTTAAATTTATTTTTTAGAACAAAACAAATAATCAGATATTTAAGATATGTGACAACTTAGATCCTTTTCATATGCCAGTTAAATTTTCTGTATTGCTTTTTTTTTTTTTTCAGTTTAAAAAAAAAAGTAGTATTTGGCCAGACACAGTGGCTCACGCCTGTAATCCCAGCACTTTGGGAGGCCAAGGCAGGTGGATTACTTGAGGCCAGGGATTTGAGACCAGCCTGGCCAACATGGCAAAACCACACCTCTACCAAAAATACAAAAAAAATTAGCCAGGTGTCATGGCGCACACCTGTTAATTCCAGCTACTCTGGAGACTGAGGCACAAGAATTATTTGAACTTGGAAGGCAGATGTTGCAGTGAGTCCAGATCATGCAACTGTACTCCAACCTGGTGACAGAGTGAGACTGTCACAAAATAAAATAAAATTAAAAATTAAAAATTAAAAAAATTTTTGAAAATACTATTTGTCCTTCTACATAATGATTCAAATAAAGCCAAGGATCAAGCTTTTGTGTATTGGTCTCTTTACTTTAAGAAAGATAAAATCCTAGTAGGGAGTTGATAAAAAATTTTAAAAAAGCTGTTTCCATTTGCTTGAATACATTTTGTCTGTATTCAGCTGAAAAATTTAAAAGATTGCACACCTCCTTTCCCTCTATATTTGATGTGCAAAGTAAAGAAATTTTCCTTTTTCTTCACATCATAAAGAGGAGTATATAAAAAACTATACTTACTTGGCAATTGGGTACTCCCACATGTATCCCCAGCCTCCATGGAGCTGTACACAGTCATAAGCTACACTATTTTGTAACTCAGATGCCCTAAATGACCAAAATAAAAGGCAGAAAAGAAATGTTTGAAATGGATTTTCATGAGGTGCTTCAAAACCAGAAAATTAATTATTTACAATTGTTGAAATGTGCACATGTATTAAGCGATTAGAACGGCATATTAGCCAAGCAAAGAAGATGATAAAAATTACATATGAAATAAATTTCAAGAGACTTTTCATATAAGAATACCTTTTTCATCAATTATATTTCTTGCTAGGTTTTTGCTAGCCTAGAAACAAAAGGTAGAAAGCTCAGATGATTAGGTTTTGGCTATTTCAGGCTCGAAAAAGATACAGTAAAAACTTGAATATGTTCTAATTTATTTGGATTCTCTATATGATCTAAATTACTCAGCCACCTAGTTCTTTTTGCCCTTGTAATATGCATTTTTTCTTCAATGATGTCACTTTCTACTTGAAGATCATGATTCTGAATTTCAATATAAAAAAGCAATTTTTTAGGGTTCTGACTTTTCAGAAATAAATTGAAGATAACAGTGAAAACCTGAGAGGGCACACTAACAAAGTGTATGCTATCATATAGGAAACATTAGAAAATTATATAGAGATTATTATTCCTGAAGTGTGTATATTAGTATTATATATAATGTTTGTATATATAAACATGCAGTGCTTGAGAAACATTCTTTTCTGATAATATCACAATTCTATCATTAAAATTCATAATAGAGATTTTATTCACCTTAACATAAAAATATGTTAGTTCAAAATTTTTTTCTACTTGTCTTTTCTTTCGTTTGTTTGTTTGTGTGTTTGTTTTACTGATGGAGTCTCACTCCCTCTATGGCCCAGGTTGGGGTACAGCGGCACAATCATAGCTCACTACAATCTTGAACTCCTGGGCTCAAAGGATCCTCTCACCTCAGCTTCTCCAGTAGGAGTTACTACAGTGGCAAGGTACAGCACCCCACTACTTATTTTTCAATAGTGGGAAGCATAAAGCAAAAATAAAGATATATACTTTTTAAAATTTACAATAATTTTAAACTCAAACCATACGACAGGTGAGGATATTTCTAAGCAATATATTAACAATATAATTATTAATAGACAAGACTTTGGGGACAATAATAGTTGGAATTTGATAGTTTTTTTGTGTTTGGCAAGTATTTTAGTGAAATATTTACTGGGCTATAACTAGCTGCCTCCTGTGCTTCAATGTGAAATATCAGCATGTGTATAAACCTGAGGTTTTCAAATAACAAGGTCAATGGCTATCTGAACTTCTTTTTCCAAAAATATGTAAATTTTTTTTACACTTTTTGCCACTAGTCAAAGAACTTGTAAATGTAAATATAAAAAGTCTCCTCAAAAGTGCAAGTTTCTGAAAAGTAATTCCACACTACTTTTCAATCTGCAATTTTATTATTATGGGATCATTACATAAAGCACAAAATATTTCCCCTGTTCTACTTGTGACTAAACACAAGTTAATGAATAATGACAGGAATTTATTCTAGGTTACTCTTGGGCTAATGATATGTGAGAATGTTTGTTTTTAAAAAGAGGAAACCAAATCTACTTCCAGAATCTGATTTAGACCGTATATTCCAAAATCTTAAAATATACAAAAGTCTGACATACAGGGATGTTTTTTCAATCAACTCATCTTTAACACCATCGCTAATAATCTTTAATTCAAATCGAAGTCTTTCTAAACTTAACAGGATTTTTATTTTCCTTTCACTTAATACAGCCTGTGAAACTTTGATTGGACAGCCAGTTCTTCGTGAATTTTTTCTTACATTTGGAAAGCACCTTAAATAGAAAAATCGTGTCCAACTTAGCCATTTCACAGATGATAAAAACATTTTCCTGGATGGAATTAAGTTTATTATAGTTATTTAATAAAAGAATTGGGACTCTATCTCAAGACTCCTAAGTTTTACTGTTCCCTTTCAGCCTCACTATACTGTCGGTCTTCAGATAATTTGAAATTAAACTATTACTTGAATGAACGAATTCGTCATCCTATCAATATCACTCTTCATTATCCCACTCTTAATATTTTATTTTCAATAGCAAGTTAATAATTAAATACTAACTTTGCTTGCCTATTAGGATAAAAAAATTAAATACCAACTTGAATAATTTTTAGCACATTATACGTATGCTTAATGGAACTTTTTAGCATTTTTTTTTAAGTTGAGCCTTACTTTTATTTTTCATTTCACAGATTTCCTCCTTTAAGACCCTCAAGGTTGAGCTTAAAATTGGCAGAATTCTATAACAGTCTGAGCACACACCACACTCTAATTACTGTAGCATACATACCAGTATTTCGCCATGCAAGCAGTGGCAGAGTCCAAACGTTTCGCTTCATGCAGCTGGAGACAGTTGTCCACAAATGCTCTGGTTACACATATATGTGTTTTTAATTCTGCTAATTTATGTTGCACTGTCTTGAATTTAAAGTAAATAAAAGAAAAAAGTGAGCCTGGTAGAAATATAAACTTTTTTTTTTTTTTTTTTGAGACGGAGTCTTGCTCTGTCACCCAGGCTGGAGTGCAGTGGCACGATCTCGGCTCACTGCAAGCTCCGCCTTCTGGGTTGACGTCATTCCCCTGCCTCAGCCTCCCATTTAGCTGGGACTACAGGTGCCCGCCACCATGCTCAGCTAAATTTTTTTTGTATTTTTAGTAGAGACGGAGTTTCACCATGTTAGCCAGGATGGTCTCGATCTCCTGACCTTGTGATCCACCCGCCTCAGCCTCCCAAAGTAAGAAATATAAACTTTAACCCACTTAACATATCAGAAATTATACAATAAAAGATCTTTAGGGCAAACAAAAGTAGAATTGTTTTTTTCCTCCATAAAGAGGGCATTTGTTAGCAAATCAGCTAAATTTAAAACTCACTGTATTTCAGTGCTAAGGAAATTTGTACTAAAAGATGCAAAAATAGTTTAAAACATAAATGTCTTGTTTCAGATTCTAAAATTTAGATGAGGCAAACTTCTTGAAAAACAGCATTACTTTAATGTGTGAGCACCGTCTTGTGGTACAGTTATTTAGGTACAGCTGTCAAAAACACCTATTGTATTTTCCTCCAGAGACTAAATCCTTGACGATTTTTCTTTATTAATGAAATTAAGTATACAGATTTTCCTGCTTTGCTTCTAACATCTGGAGGGATAAGGGGGTTCTATATATGTTCATAAACACATCAAAATATTTATAAGGTATTATTTAATATTTCACGGTATTTAATCTAGATCTGTAGAAAGCAATATAATAAAATCAGAGCACTAAAGAGATCAAAGTCCAGTACCCTCATCCTCTTTCATCCCTTCACATGATCTCTCTTGATATGGTTTGGCTGTGTCCCCACCCAAATCTCATCTTGAATTTTAGCTCCCATAATCCCCACATGTTGTAGGAGGGACCTGGTGGGAGATAATTGAATCATGGGGGCGGGTTTGTCCCATGCTGTTTTTGTGATAGTAAGTCTCATGAGATCTGATGGTTTTATAAAGAGCAGTTCCCCCGCACACACTCTTTTGCCTGCCATCATGTAAGATGTGCTGTTGTTCCTCCTTCACCTTCCACCATGATTATGAGGCCTCCCCAACTATGTGGAACTGTGAGTCTTTTAAACACCCTCCTTTTTAAAAAAAAATAAATTACCCAGTCTCAGGTATTTCTTCATAGCAGTATGAAATGGATAAATACACCTCCCATACCTCCCAATAGCTTGTTTAGCAGTCTCTAGCTTGGACTGAATGGTCTGGGATTATCAATGTTAATACAGCTATGTACCTACCTCCTCCTGCGGGCCATGGACAACCCATTAGCATTTTTGGAAAGCATTCTATTTAGACCATTGTCAATTGTTCCTGACTGTCCTTGCTTCAATCAAGTTTTATTTCATTCCTGACTCTAGGCTCTCACACTGAACTTGGAGTTTATATCTGTTCTCTCTGGCACTGACTCTTGAGCTTTCCTCAGGAAATTGGCTTGAACTTGAAATACTGGGTTCCCACTTTGGGTAGCCTCCAAAAGTATACCCCATTCTAGTTGATTTCTTAGGTCCCAGGCCCCGATATGGTCAGCTGGCCCTATCTTCTTTGTGAAAATACAGATAGAAACAGAGTTCTGATCATTCTGCTGTGAAATGAGTAAGAACTTCACTGTGGCTTATAGAAAGCATACACATGGAAAGATACCGGCAAAGGTGGTGCAGTGAAACTCAAACTAGAAGTTAAACACACACTGTCAAGTCCAAAGCCACAGCTGTGTTCTCAAAGGAGGGTGGTGGGCCAGATTCTCAGAAGATGCAGGGTCTGCTTTTAATGCTGGCTACAGCAGTTCTAAAATTATAAAACTGATTTTTTCAGTGTCATTGTTTGTTGGGACAGTTTTGATACTTACCATTTCTGGAAAAGAGTAGAATGGGAGTGTAAAAAGACCCAGGACCAACCAAGACCAGGGTGTATCAGGTGGAGTAGAAGCTGTGAGGGGCAGATTCCTTACAGGTGTATCAACATAACTACTGTGCTGATGAAAACTCCAACTGACTGTCTTTCCCTTGGTTTTATTTTACCCTGTTCTAGAAACAGAGAATGTAACTGGCATTGAATGATTCCAAAACTAAGCAGTGGGAAGACTGGCACCCCACTCCTTCCATCTCTGTATTCTGGCTTCTAATTCTGAACATGCTGGGCCACATCAAAACTTTCTTCCCCTCTTGTTGTTTCCCTTACTTTTTCTATCTCCACTTCTATTCATTATATATTTAATTAGGTCAAATATCTACCTTTTAATCAGCACAAAGTTTCCCACTGCCAGCCCACACATTCAAGTTTACTCATAGACAATCTAAAGATGGAACAAAAAAAAAGAAAGAAAAAAATAGGGAAATAAACTATATATCAAAAACGGATGAGTATTCCATGAAAATCCCTGAGGATGGTTTCTAAGTCTACTCCTAGTTTAGTTCAATGACACTATGTATGACACTTTATTTGGAAAATAAGGGTGGATCCAACAAGTCTCAAGATATTTTTTTTGCCTACGTAATGCCACATTTGGGAATTTATGCACTGTCTTTACAATATGAAAGAGTAAAGATATCTAAGCCTGATTCTCTCATACAAGAGTTGTTCCTTTGTAAATGTAAATGCTGGAAACTTCTAGAAGCTGAAGTAAAACCTCAAACCAGAATAGAATGATTTAGAATTCTTGCATCAGTGCATTCAGTGAAGTTCAGAGGTCTGAGAATAATGTCTCCAAGAGTATATAATTTACTCTGTGGGGATAAAAAAATTGAAATACGTATTCTTGCCATTGGGTTGAGCATTACTAAACAGATTTGGTCTTTGTTTTTCACTGCAGACACTGCATTATGCTTTCTGAAATCATCCTCTAATCAAAGGCACTAAAAATTGGACCACACATTATTAGCTAAGTACTCTTTGTGAATGATCGACAAGCTCATAGCAGTATTTTTAAGTCATTTATATTTGTTAATAAATAATACTGCAGTTAGCATTAAAAAATTATTATGAAGTTACTGAGTGGGCTGGATAGAGTCTTTTTCAGAGTTCTGAATGACAGAATCCTTAGAATCATAGAATTACAGAACTGGAAAACACCTTGGAATGGTTATCTAGCCCAGTACTCCCTTAAACAGCAGCAGCAGTTGCTCTATTATGGTTAAAATATAAAATAAAACACACTAGGTTTGCTATTTGATAGTTAATTAATCCCATGCTCAAGGTCTTAAGAACTGGATATTCCCATTTTAGAGACATGTGAAGAAGTATTACTATTTTTTTCCTCTCTATTCCTTTGCCTAATTCTTTATGCCCTTAGAATTAAGAACACATACCACATAGGAAATGACTAACCAAGAGCTCTCATTAGATTAGAAAAAACATTCCATTTTCACTTCATTGTCCACTGAGTGAAGGAAATAGGAATAGAAAAAAGGCTCATCTGCTTTGCACTTCTGGGCAGTAATAACAGTATTTAAGTGAAGCGTGTAGGTTCTGGAATTAGAATATATGTGTAATTTGGGGCAAGTTACTTAACCTCTCTATACCTCAATTTCCTTAAATGTAAAATAAAAATAATTAAAGTACTTATGATATAGATTTGTGAAGAAAAAGAATGAGGCAATTCACTTAGCAGTGTCTGGCAGATAGGGAGCAGTCAAGCCATAATATCCATTATTACTATTTAACATCTGGATTTTACTATTTTATTGTCTATTCCATGAAAAATCATAAGATTGACATAAACTATGGAGAGTATAGATTTTAAAAAGCCCAATAATTATTGCTACATCCATATGGTAGGTTTCTATTCTAAAAAGAAAATAAGTTTTGTGACATGCATTTCAACTGGTCAGAAAGCCCCAAAATGTTCAAAATTCAAGGATAACAAAGAGAATGGAAACTGAATAGTTATATAGTTATAAAATGACATGTGGCCAAGTATATTGTAACATTTAAAGTTTTTCTATTTCAATTGAATAACTAGAACCATAATGTAACCAGCTCTCGAATACAAGGTATAGCTGTGTACAGTATTGGTTATTCATCGTCTCTGAATATATTCCTAGCTTGAAATATGAAAATATTATTCAAATATATTTATTTAGATAAAATAGGAAGATCAGAAGACATATCTCAGAAATCTCAGAATTCTCTTTGGAATTTCTCTTACTTGGAAAACAATACTACTAGCTATCAATGTGACCTGTGGAAGTAGAATGCTACTGCCATCTACTGAAAGTTTAGGAAACTAACTTTGAAAGAAGGCAACAATAAAATGACACTTCTTTAAAAAGGAATGATTAAAATTATTTATTTTTTGCTATTAAAATACAATAAATGTATATTTTAAAAGAATCTTTTTCCTCTATAACAAACAATATGGACAACTTTTCTATTTTCTTCATGGTTAAATGTCAAATTACATGCTTTCTGAGTCATTCAGGCAATCTGGGTAATATTATAGTCATCCTTGTCATGTAGTATGAAGCCAAAATAAGGCTAAAGGTATATTTTTGTTTTTGTATTTGTTTTCGTGGGTAGCAGGGAGACAGGGTCTTGCTATGTTACTCAGGCTAGAGTACAATGGTGCAATCTCAGCTCACTGCAACCTCTGACTCCAGGGCTCAAGCGATCCTCCCACCTTAGCCTCCTGAGTAGCTGGGACTACAGGCACACGCCACCACACCTGGTTAATTTTTGTATCTTTTGTAGAGATGAGGTTTTGCCATGTTGCCCAGGCTGGTCTCAAAATCCTGGGTTCAAGCAATCTGCCTGCCTAGGCCTCCCAACATGCTGGCCTTGGTATAAGTGTTTTAGTAAACATTTGATGTTTAAGTGGTGGTGGTCAGATATCAGAAGCAAATGATACTCATTCCACTTTGGGGACAGTTGAGAAAATCAGAGTGATATCAAGTGGTAACACTTCCTTCATATTGCCAGGAGTGTAGTATGTGTTTTGAGAGTCACATCCATCAAAGTACAGTTGAACACATTACCTTAGGAGGCAATCAATATATATTTGTTCAGTGAAGCAAAAAGGAATAAATGATATATGTCAGTGTTTCCCAATGGGAAATTATTGATATTTTGAGTGACGCAATTAGTTGTAATCCAAATGTGCATTATAGGACATTGAACAACACGGTCCTCCAGGGCACTATACAAGTTATACCTCCAGCCAACTGTGCACACCCACCCCCACCCCATTCCTGACACTTCTAAACACCTGGAGGAAAGGGCATGCACTGAGAACCACTGATACATGTAAATCAGTGATCCATAAAGGAAAGGGAATATAAAGTATAACATCCTTGCTCTTAAGGAAATCACAATTTAGGCAAGTTAAGTCATATTGTTTTGTTAAATGTTTTCTTGACTGAGTGTGTACCTCATTTTTATAGATTCAGAACAACTGTTTTAGGTTTGTTATGTCAATAAGAAAAGTTAGGATGTAAATACTATTTTTCAGGATGAAAAAAGTTAATTTGATGACAATACAGGTAGCAAATAGTTCCCAAAATGACACAGAGAGGGTCTAGATCAAGAACAAGAGGAAGTAGATGATAAAAAGTTCTCCCATATTGAAACAAAATGGAGCAAGGCATTATGTAAGAAATAAAATAAGGGTAACAGCTAATTTTTAATGAGGGCTTACTTTGCCAAGCAATATTCCAAGCGCTTTATGTATATTACCCTATCTAACTGATAGAGACAGGTGACAGCCCAGGGTCTCTGGCAAAACCCTGCCTTCAAGCCTAAACAGCCTAAAGGCTGAAAACCCCGACTGCTGGTCCCAGATGAAGGCTGCCCTTTCCCAACTGATCCTTTCTGAATAATGCCTGTGCACTGGGAGGATGGGGTGGAGCCTCGGGAAGTTCACACCGCTTGCAGAGGAGAGAAGCCTAGCCTCTCTTGTTCCTGTGTGCTGACCTAGGATTCAATCTGTAAGGTGGGAGACCTGCTAGCAAGACTTTGTCTCGCTTTGCTGAGAGTTCCTTTTTCATTTTCATTTAATAAATCCTGCCCTAGTCAACCTACAATGTGTCTGCGTGCCTAAATTATCCCGGTCATGTGACAAGAACCCAGTTTTTTCCACAACATAATCCTCACAACAACGCTATGAGGCAATCTCTGATATTCACAAATAGGGAAATATTTTATAAATATTTACAAACGTTATAAATTTTAAAGATTTATAGTCATAAGATTTCACAATTTTGCAAATCAAACACATTTTATAAATTTACAAATAGGAAACTATTTTTGAGAGAGAGAACATGCCTAGACTACAGAGATTCAAGTAGCTGGGTTAGGACATAAACCACACTTGAACATAATTTCTAGAATGCTGGTCCTGAAAAGCCACCAAGTTGTTTCATTTCTACCTTTCCCTTCACAAAGCCTTTCAGCCAGTCATTCTACTGAAAAATTTTTAAGTCAAATCCCAACTCCAGGTTTTTTGCTGGTGAAATGTTTCACCAATTTGATGACCGCATGAAGGAATTATAAACTATTCCTTCATTTAAAAAGAAACTATAGGGTCTAAAATTTAATTAGCATATTTAGTGACAGTGGCCACCATATACTGAGTTATTTTGCAAAAACCCTCAAGTTCCTGGGGAAACTTAACCCTAGGTAAACACAATCATCTGTCTTTTCTCTATGTTTGTACCTGGGAAGCTAAACTCTTATCATAAAGCTGATTGATACACAAAAAGCAGAAAGTTCAGTTTCTCATTCTGAAGAAGGTATTTCGTACCTCCCTCACCCTTCTCCAACACCTCCATGCCTCCTTCACTCACCTGTCTTTCAAGGACTAACTTTCCCTATTGTTATTTATTTATTTATTTATTTATTTGTTTATTTTTGAGATGGAGTCTTGCTCTGTAGCCCAGGCTGGATGGAGTGCAGTGGTACGATCTCGGCTCACTGCAACCTCCACCTCCCGGGTTCAAGTGATTCTCCTGCCTCAGCCTCCCAAGTAGCCGGGATTAGAGGCGTGCACCACCATGTCTGGCTAATTTTTGTAGTTTTAGTAGAGACAGGGTTTCACCATGTTGGCCAGGCTGGTCTCAAACTCCTGACCTCAAGTGATCCTGCCTGCCTCAGCTTCCCAAAGTGCTGAGATTACAGGCGTGAGTCACTGTGCCTGGCCACGTTATTTAAAGAAAGAGAAGTCTTGTATAAATAACTTTTGCAGTTTTCTACCAACAGAGTGATGTATCTGTCTGAACTCATAGATGTCCTTTGCTCCTTTCTTCCTGTGCAAATGAAGGAATCCCTCTCCTGTTGATGGGAAGGCCTATCTTTCCATGTGTCCGCATCCACAAACTCACCCTTTCTCAAAGACCTTATGCAGTTGATCATTTCCTTCCTATCTACAACCTTTCCCCGTTTATTAAATCCTTTCTTTATATGTAGGTATTAAACTATGCACCCACATCCCCATCCTAAAAATAACGACAAAAAATTAATAACTCCCAAATATCTCCCTTGACTCTCAAATCTCCTTCCCCTCCCCTCTTCCCGCACCACCCTTTCACTCAACTACCATTCACAGCCAAACTCAAGAAAGAGCTGCTTACCATCAGTATTGTTTCACTTCCTCATTTCTGTCTACTCACTTGGGTCTGTCACCCTCCACGTCCATTAATGGCTCTTACTAAATAATCTCCATATCATTGTATTCAATGAGCACTCTTTGCTCTTCATCTTATTTTTCCCCTAAGCAGCATTTGATCCCACTCCCTACTCCATGAAATGCTCTTTCCTTCCAGCTTCTGTGACAAAGTTCTCCTGATTTGCTTTCTCCTTTCTAACTGTTCATTCATTATCAGTCACCTTACAGGCTCCTCCTATTCAGACAATATGAATTCCAAATATGAATTCTACCTTTAAATCTTGTAGTCTTCCTCAAGGACTGTGTCCTAAGATCACTTCCTGTCTTACTCTCTACTACCTCTCCCTTAATGATCTCATCCACTTCCATGGTTTCTAATATCACCTTATATGAAAATAACCCCAAACTTCTGTTTACCCCAGGCCATTTCAGATGAGTAAATTGATATCATCTAATACTAAACCACAGTGACAAGCTTACCTGTAGGTGGGCAACTGTTTTGCCAAAAGCTTTTCTTTGTTTAACATAGTTCCTGGTTTCTTCAAACATGAACTCACTAGCTGAAACTGCCATATCAGCAATTAACAGCCTTTCCTATAACACAAAAATTAGGTCTTAAACATTACTCTAATTATGCAAGTGATTTTCACACAATTTCAATTACGATAAATCCTATAAATTAACTTTATAATAAACTCATAAAGATTAATTTATGTCTTAACTCTTTATAAGAAAACAGATTTATGAGATTCTTTTGACATACCTCTTGTCACTTTCTAAAGCAAATCCTTTATTTTTATGAATGACTGCTTTTATTTTTTTTAAATCTTTTTAATTTCTTAAGGGACGAAGTCTCACTCTGTTACTAAAAATGGAGTACAGTTGCACAATCACAGTTCACTACATCCTGTAATTCCTGGGCTCAAGTGATCCTCCCATCTCAGCCTCCCAAGTAGCTGGGATAACAGGCGCATAACACCATGCCCACAAATGACTGTCTTCATTATATATATGCAATTTATTTAATTTTTTCTTCTCTTTACTCACATATGAGTTAAAAACAATCCCTAGTTGCTTATTTCAGGTTATTAATCTCTGCACACTGTATGACTCAATATATCTGTGGAAATAAACATCTTACAGCACATAAGTTAAATTCTACCTATTAATGTAAAAGTAGTCTTAGTTTAAATCCATCATGCTGGTGATTTTCATGGCAGTCACTAGGCAGGAGTACCCCCTTACACTGGCATCTGAGGCTCAATAATCACTTGTCAACCATACTTTAAAACCACAGCTGTTTAGGGACTGACCCTATGTGGCTAAAACTTTTCAGTCTGAATTTTACACTTTTCCCTTTGATTCACAGTTTTTATTTAAAAACTGGCAAACTATCAAATGTTTTACATGACATTTCCTTACAAAGAGCTAAGTTTTTGAATTGTAGTTAAGAAGCTAAAATCATTCTAAGAAGGAATCACAGAACTGAAATATCTGTTTTTCCTACTCACTTTTTTTTTTTTTTGAGACGGAGTCTTGCTCTATCGTCCAGGCTGGAATGCAGTGGCGAGATCTCGGCTCATTGCAAGCTCCGCCTCCTGGGTTCATGCTATTCTCCTGCCTCAGCCTCCTGAGTAGCTGGGACTACAGGTGCCTGCCACCATGCCCAGCCAATTTTTTTGTGTTTTTAGTAGAGACGGGGTTTCACTGTGTTAGCCAGGATGGTCTCGATCTCCTGACCTTGTGATCTGCCTACCTTGGCCTCCCAAAGTGCTGGGATTACAAGCATGAGTCACTGCGCTCAGCTTTTCCTACTCACTTTATAAGCTTTGACTGGATATTACTGAGTTCAGTTATTTACTTATCTACCCTATAAAACTCATACTTTTATTACAACTTTAATACTCAAATGATTAGCTATTTCACAAGTTTTGCATGTATAAATCTGCATGCATAATATAGAAATAGCATGTTTCTATATTATTCTATTCCAATTCATTATTTAGTCAAAAGATGGAATCTTTAAACACTTCTGACCTGTGGAAGCTCTTTCATGATGTAATAGAAGCCTTTATTCTCTTCTCCAAGTAGGGCACTAGCTGGCAACCGTACATCTTCAAAGAATAGTTCTGCAGTATCCTAAAAGACCATACAAAAAATGTTGAGAGTGATCTCATTTAAATCTTCCAATAACCCAGTGAATATTGGAGTGAATATTATTTTTTCCAAAAAAACAAAAAACAAATTGGAAGCCAAGTTGGAGTGGTAAATGAACATAACTAGGAAGTGGTAAACCAGGGATTTGAACTCACAGCCATCTGATTCCAAAACTTGTGGCTTTCCTACTGCAACACACTATCATTCCAGCTCTAATATTGTCCAGTTCTCAAGGTACTTGGAGCTAAGGATTTCTAATACATATTAAGCAAAACATGTGTTTTTGGTAATGTATAGAAAGAACATTTTCTGTTTTTCTGTTTTATTTATTTATTTATTTATTTATTTTGAGAGGGAGTCTTACTCTGTCACCCAGGCTGGAGTGCAGTGGCGTGATCTCGGCTCACTGCAACCTCCATCTCCTGGGTTCAAGTGATTCTCCTGCCTCAGCCTCCAGAGTAGCTGGGACTACAGGTGCCTGCCACCACACCCGGCTAATTTTTTTAGTATTAGTAGAGACAGGGTTTCACCATGTTGTCCAGGCTGGTCTCGAACTCCTGACCTCAGGTGATCCACCGGCCTCAGCCTCCCAAAGTGCTCGGATTACAGGTGTGAGCCACTGCGCCTGGCCACACTTTCTATTTTTACTTCATATTTTTCTTTAATACATTTTACAAATAGATGGCTTGTTACCATGCAGTTAATTCTGCCATTTCTAAAAGCAGATATTCAAAATACCTTGATTCATTTCTATTGCTGACCATCAGAAAGAGAGAGAGAGGTATAAATGGGAATAAATCTCATTACCACATCAGAAAAGCATATTTTAGGAATTCAGCATAGGAAATAAAATTGTGCCACATGTAATCCTCTTTATAAGTCTCCTATCTGATTAATAGTAAACTCAATTAGTATCTGAATATGATTTACATTATCACTCACCTGTGCTTTTAATCCCATTTTATGTAGCTTTCGTCCCTTGATAAATCCTTTCATTCCATTTTCCACCAGAAAAAGGCTAATACCACGGGCAGGGGAGGGAGCTTCATGATTTGTGACTGCAACTACAATCACAACATCACTTAACCACCCATTACTGATGAACACCTGTAAAACCCCAAGTACACTAGTAATGCACCACGATAATTCAAGTCTATGTGCAAGTTATGATTGGGAGAAAGCACATTCCAGAAAACTAAAACAGACAAGACATGCTCGATATCTCTCTCGGTACCCTACCCAAATATCTGCAGAGTTGATTATTCACACATGATGTTATCAAGGATCGGGGAAAAATTACTTAATGCTTCAAAGAATGAAACCTATAGATTTTCTTTTCACTATTAATATTATACACAATAATAATAAGCAGAGATTATTATGTTCTTTAAAAATGAAACCAAATTGTCTATTATGACGATAAATTGTATTTTAGAAGAAAGACACTGGTAAGAAAAGAAAATCTGGCGGGGCCTGCTGGCTCACACCTGGAAGCCCAGCACTTTGGGAGGCCGAGGCAAAAGGATCATTTGTGCTCAGGAGTTATGACCAGCCTTGCCAAAATAGCAGAGACAAAAAAATTAAAAATTAGCTGATATGGTAGTGTGCACCTATATATAGTTCAAGCTACTTAGGAAGCTGAGGCAGGAGGATCGCTTGAGCCTAGGAGTTTGAGGTTGCAGTGAGTTACGATTGTACCACTGCACGCCAAACTGGGTGACAGAGTGAGATCCTGTCTCTAGAAAAAAAAAAGAAAAGAAAAGAAAAATAAAAAGAAAGAAAATCTGCTGTAAATGGCACTATATTATTTATTCTCAGATGTATCAGTTTTTGAAAAGGACTATTTTTGATTTTTGTAATTGATACCCTGCTTCCTTTAAAATGGCCTAAATAGGAAACTATGATTAAGGAGGGAAAAATGACAAGCCAAATGAGAGGGATTATCAGATGATATTGATTCAGAAAACAAAATATACTCCAAGCAAATATTAATAATTATCTTCTCATTCTGCCTCTTTCCTGGTTCATCTCAATCATTTTCATGGCTTGAGTCACCCTCTACGTGCTGATGGCTCCAAATATTTATCTATGCTATGTTTCCTTTCTTTTTTTTTTAGAGACAGGGTCTCTCTCACCCAGGCTGGCGTGCAGTGGTGTGATCATAGCTCATTGCAGCCTCGAACTCCTGGTAAGCCACATTTCTTGATAGGACCTGGACCTGAATATGTACTTGCTTCTGAACAGTTCCACTTGATGACTCATGGGTGGGACATACTCCTTCCCACCCCTACTCCTATCTAATCCTGATTATCAACCTATTTCCCTATCTCAATGAATGCTTCAATAGATTACACTGTCATCCTGCTTCTTATTCAATTCAGCATCTAGTTTTTTCTAACCCATCTTAATACTTTTGGAATTTATTCACTTCCTTTCAATTCTATTGTAATTACCTTATTTCCAGCCCTCATCATTTCTTAAGTTCCTACAACTGATCTCTCTACAGCTGTATCATTCATCATGATGTCAGAGAGAATTTTCTAAATGCAATCTGATCATATTGCCTTCACACTTAAACATTTTTGAATAGCTCCTAATAGGCTTCAGGGTAAATTCAAAACCCTTAGCAGGAAATAGAAAACTTATCACAAACTGGCACTAGCTTACCTCTCCTTACCTGCCTTATTGCTTGTCCCACTCTCCCCAATTTCCTGTTCTCCAGTCAGCTACTAAATTATTTGCTGTCCATCACATTGCGAGATCTTCCTGACCTTTGAGTCTTTGAAAATCTTGTTTCTGCTACTTGGGAAAGGCCCTTTCCCAACTCTGCTACAATGCATTGTACTCATCCTGGACGGTTTAGACATCAGACTGGCCAAAAGGTCTCAAATTCTCCAGGCTGGGTTAAGCATTCCTACAATACCTCAAATTTACCAAAATGATCTGTTTTTAATCTCTCTCCCTTTGAAATAGTAGGGGTATAAAATGATGTTGGTTACTCCCATCACCTAAAATGCACAGCACTGAAACATACAAATAATGAAAAATGGGCAAATAACGTTAGTGTTGTCTACACAACAGCAAATGAAGATAGTGGTGGCAGTATGGTTATAGGTGACACAATAATAAAAGATCATCAACATGCCTCCTTACTAGGAGCTCCTAGCCATTTCCTATTCCTATATCTATCTTAAGTGCTTAGAATTCTTTTTGGCACAGATGAGGCCAAAGGATGTTTTAAAAATATATTTTGAAAATGATGTTCCTCAAAAAAATTTCTATACATCTTGGCAAAAATATTTTTTCAACAGTATTGCTCCATTACACCACTCCCTTGCTCAAAAATCTTAAAAGTCTACCAAGTTCCTACCTTTCTGTGTAGTTCCTAATATCTGTGAAGCTGCCACAGTTGAAATGCTATGAGTGCTTTTTGTTTGTTTTGCATCACACAGCACCAGGAATTAGTATCTACAATATGCTCTAAAGTGGTCTCATACACGTTTTAACTACAGATAATAAATAAACAATGTAATGGAAAGGAAGGGAGGAGCAATTCATTGGGCAAAAACTATTCATTTTAATACGCTGAGCTCAATTTGGTAAATCAAGTGGAGTTCTCCAGAAGGTCTTATTGGAAGTAATTACAGCAAAGGATCAATAAAATCTGAACCATTTCTACAACAGTGTGACCTAATGTGAATTTTAACACCATGGTGGATCCCCCTTTCTAACAGAGTTATATGAGAATTTTCCTTGCCAGTGGATTTTCTCAGTTTGTTTCCTAACTATGACACTCAAAAGTTTGAATAGGGCTGAAATTACCTCTAATGAGGGTCAACATTTTGGGGTGGTGGGAGGATATTAAATGCTTATAAAATAACAGAAACTCATTGCAGATATTATATAGAGAATGTAAAATTCTAAAGAAAAGGGAAAATATAATCCTCCATAAGTATATAATACAACTATCATTCATAATTTCCTTTCTCATCTTTTTAATTTTAATATAGTAAAAATGTTTCTGTACTTGCATTCTATCTCCTGTTTTTTCACTTAATGTATAATTATTTCCTGTACCATTAAAAACTTTGTGGTGCTAATGTTAATGGCTGCACATTCGTTCAGATGCACTGTATTTGCTTACCCATTCCTTTACTTTTACTTGCTTTCAATTTTTTGTTATTTCTAATAGAGTTTTTGAAACAGAGTCAATGGTACTTTTCCTGTGTGGTTCCCACAAAACACTATGGCTGAGCAGATGAGGCCTGCTTAGAGAGCTAGAGGTATAAGAGAATGTGGTTCCCATTTCACTTCGAACCAAATATCCTACTCTCTTTCAAAACAAGCCTTCTGTATGTGAGGAGTTAACTGATTATATATTGGAGCTATCATCTGTTTAATTATAATCCTTAGGATAAATTATTTAGACAAATATTTATTAAAGTATATTTGAAGAACACCAATGATTCAGTTTTGTAAATACAGAGCTATTAGCCCAAGCAAACATATAAAAACTAATTCTTCAACAGACCTTGGCACATATTTTCAGAAAGACTGTTTTATAACCATAAATAAAATGATCATCTTCCCTTCACGTAACACTCAGTCAACAACAAATATTTACTGAGTATATACCAGATACTATTTTAGGTGGGTAACATCACTTGCCCTCGGTGATACCAAATGCATTTGCCCTCATTGATATCAGGGATCCTGAGCCCATCCGTAACCTTAATTGGAAGCACTCTCCAATTCTATCAGTGAGTTGTTTGATTTAGTAGAACTGAATGGTTCTCAAATTCTATCACTGTATCACTGATATCTTTTTCTCCTAGGATCTTTTTTTTTCTTTGAGGGGGGTCTTACTCTATGTCAACCTCCTTGGCTCAAGTGATTCTCCCTCTTCAGCCTCCTGAGTGAGTAACTGGGACCAAAGGGCACACCACCATGCCCAGCTAATTTTTTTAATTTTTACTTTTGTAGAAACAGGGTCTCATTTTGCTGCCTAGGCTGGTCTCAAACTTCTGGGCTCAAGCAATCTCTTGCCTCAGCCTCCCAAAGTGCTGGGATTATAGGTGTGAGCCACTGTGCCTGTCCTTCTCCTAGAATCTTTTGAAATTCTTCTTGATCTACATGAGAAAACTTTTTCCCCAATCTTTTATCAACATAAAGTTTAAGTATTATTAATATTTGTCCCACATTTGAGCAATGTGAGTCTCACCTTGTCTTTTTCTGGTTTGATAAGGGCTGTTTGGAAGCTAAAACAACCTTTGCCATATTAGTGAGGGGGCATGCAAAATGAAACATAGAAGAAGCTACCACAGATCTTAAGTAATATTTGTTGTAAATTTGCTGTCTCCAAAACAGCTTAGGTAAATTCAATTCCTGCATGAGTCCCTAGATTTAACAGAATTAATGAGTTGTCTCTGAGACATTGTTACCCATGGCATGACTCTGAAAAGAAAGGCTATAGAAGTCCCTCTCTACACACCTTGCTTCCATTGAGAATCCAGTCACTTCCATCCTTTTTAGCATTTGTTTTTATTCCTTGTAAGTCACTGTAATCGAAAGAAAGGATAAACAATTCATCAAATGATAAAAATTGAATTATGTAAATTATATAAGTATGTATGTAAATTAGATTATTCAAACTGGCTACACCATTATAAAATTGCTGAATATTAAGAATGTTCACACAATTGCACTGAAAAACCATGCTGATCTATTATATTCTAAAGCACTTACACAAATGAATATATGATTAAGATTTATTATATAAACTAGCCAGATTTTATACAGTAGTATAACGAAACCCAACTAACATTCAAGACCCCAATGGGACTCACATAACATTTCAAACCTCACTGTACCCCTGAGATTACGTGTCACCATGTACTTTGCTGCCTTTAAACAACTTGGTTCCTTCCCCTATCTCTATTGATCTAAAATTTAGCTATTAGGCAGGGCGTGGTGGCTCATGCTTATAATCCCAGCACCTTGGGAGACTGAGTGGGGAGGACTGCTTCAGCCCAGGAGTTTGAGACCAGCCTGGGAAACAAAGCTAGACTCTATCTCTATAAAAAGTTAAAAAATTAGTTTGTGGCGGCACATGCCTGTGGTCTCAGCTACTTGGGAGGCTGAAGTGAGAGGATCACTTGGGCCTGGGAAGTTGAAGCTGCAGTGAGGCACGATCATGCCACCGCACTCTAGTCTGGGTAACACAGTGAGAATTTATCTTAAAAAAAAAAAGAGCATGTCTCAAATGCCATTTTTTTTCTAACAAACCTGCTCTAAGTATAGTACAGATTATTTTTCTAAATATAAAAGAAGCAAATATTACTAAAGAAAATATTAAGAATATAGAGAGCATTCCAAAGGAGAAAAATAATTTTAAAAATAATTTTATCTCCTGGAATGAACATTTTAAAGGTATATCTTTCCAATATTTTCCTATGGATATAACTATACATATATATGCATTTTTATAAAACTGGAACCATATGATTTTGATCTGTTAACAATATCTAATGACTTCTTATTAGCTGAACAGAACATCATCATGGATTTACCATAATTTTAAAAAATAATCCCCTATTGTTAAAACACTTGGGTCTCAAAATCTAAATATCCTACAATAAACAGCATAGTATATAAATAGTCCACATTACTTGTGTAATTTTTCCTATTCTTCTTCTTTATGTGGGTGATATGGTTTGGCTTTGTGTCCCCACCCAAATCTCATGTTCAACTATGATCTTCAGTGTTGGAGAAGGCAGCCTGGTGGGGTGATTGGATCATAGGGATGGACTTTCCCCTTGCTGTTCTTGTGTTAGTGAGTTACTTATCATGAGATCTGGTTGTTTAAAAGTGTGTAGCACATCCCTCTTCTCTCTATTCCTCCTTCTCTGGCCATGTAGGACATGTCTGCTTCCCCTCTGCCTTCGGCCATGATTGTAAGTTTCCTGAGGCCTCCCCAGCCATGCTGAACTGTGAGTCAATTAAGCCTCTTTCCTTTATAAATTACCCAGTTCCGGTTTTTTTTTTTTTTTTTTTTATAGCAACGCAAAAACAGAGTAACACAGTGGTGTTTATATTTTACGACCCTCGGCAATTTTTTTTTTTTTTTTTTTTTGAGACTGAGTTTCCCTCTTGTTGCCCAGGCTGGAGTGCAATGGCACAATCTCGGCTCACTGCAACCTTTGCCTCCCTGGTTCAAGCGATTCTCCTGCCTCAGCCACCTCAGTATCTGGCATTACAGGCATAGGCCACCATGCCAGGCTAATTTTTTGTGTTATTAGTAGAGACGTGGTTTCACCATGTTGGCCAGGCTGGTCTTGAACTCCTGACCTCAGGTGATCAGCACACCTTGGCCTCCCAAAGTGTTGGGATTACAGTCGTGAGCCACCGCACCCAGTTGCATTTTTTTTAAATCACTCTCTGTATTAGGCTGAATAATGATCCCAAAGATAACAGGTCCTATACCCTAGAGGCTGTGCTACCTTACATGGAAAAACAGTCTTGCAGATGTGATTAATTTAAGGATGTTGTGATAGAGAGATTATCACGAATGATCTGGATGAGCGCTAAATGCAATCAGAAATGTCCTTATAAGAGAGCGGTAAAGAGAGATTTCATACACAGAAGAGAAGACAATGTGACCACAAAGGCAAAGACTGCAGTGATGAGGCAACAAGGCAAGGCAAGGAATGCCAAACAGACATTAAGAGACAGAAGAGGAAAGGAGTGGATCCTCCCCTATAACCTCTGGAGGAAGTGTGGCCCTGCTGATACCCTGATTTGGGCCCAGCGATACTGATTCTGTACTTCTAGCCTTCAGAACTGTAAGAGAATAAATTTCTATTGTCTGAAGCCACCAAGTCTGTGATAATTTGTCACAGATGCCATCAGGCAACAAATATACTCTCTTAGAGCATTTACTTTCAATTGCAATTACAATAAAAAGCAATTATCTTTCCCACCTACTGCACTTATCTGACTCAAGTTTTTTGAAAACACGTGGTGTATCAAGATCATATTTATATGCTCTGTGCCTAGCATGCTGCTTTGTACATAACAGGCACTCAATAAACATTTGTTAAATTATATTATTAAAATGCCAAGTATACAGAAAAGAATTAATAGAGCAGACCTGAGACTGCTATCCTTAGAAAGGCCTGTTACAACATTGTCTGTGGCTAGCATCTGGGAATCCGGATTTCAGGAGAGTTCTCACCATTCCTAGTACCCATAAAAGTGGCTTATTGTATAAACTGTTTGCTCAAACAATTAGGCTTATGTTGAAAACCTGCTTTCCTTCTGGGGATCTGAACTTTTGGTACATGCCAGGCAGAGGGTGCCTATATGACCGACCTCCAATAAAATCCTTGGGCACCAAGTCTCTGATGAGCTACACCTTGGCACACAACATTTCACACGTCACAACTTGCTGAAGGAATTATGTCCTGTATGACCTCATTGGGAGAGAACTCCTAGAAGCTGCTATTGGCTTTCTAGGGACTTTGCCCATGAGACTTTCTCTTGGCTGATTTTGCTTTGTATCCTTTACTTTAATAAATTGTAGCCATGGGTACAATATATGCTGAGTCTTGTAAGTCCTCTTAGCAAATAATTTGAACCTGGGGGTAGTCTTGGGGACCCCCCCAACACACGAATTCAAGGCTTATCCATTACACATCTAATCACTTCAAATATCACAGTAAGTTTCAGAAAGAGACTGTATAATACAGAGCCACCTATCTGAAACATAGGTTAAATGGCACAGGTATGTGAACCAATCTGTAGTCTGATTATCATCAAAAGGGTGGATGCAGATTGTGAACATAAAAGTTGAATGCTATTGTATTTCTTTTTTGTTGTTTTTTTCGAGATGGAGTTTCACTTTGTCACTGAGGCTGAAGTGCAGTGGCACGATCTCGGCTCACTGCAACCTCCACCTCCCGGGTTCAAGCAATTCTCCTGCCTCAGCCTCCCAAGTAGCTGGATTACAGGTGCACACTACCCACACCCAGCCAATTTTTGTATTTTTAGTAGAGACGGAGTTTTGCTATGTTGGCCAGGGTGGTCTTGAACTCCTGACCTCAGGTGATCCACCACCTTGGCCTCCCAAAGTGCTGAGATTACAGGCATGAGCCACTGTGCCTGGCCTGAATACTATTGTATTCTAACATCGTATTTTTCATCATAAGTATGTACAAAGTATCAGTAACTAATGTCTGTACATAGTTTATTAAAACAATTCTTCTAAGGCTGGGCGTGGTGGCTCACGTCTGTATTCCCAGTGCTTTGGGAGGCTGAGGCGGACGGATCACCTGAGGTCAGGAGTTCAAGACCAGCCTGGCCAACCTGATGAATCCCTGTCTCTACTGAAAATACAAAACTTAGCTGGATGTGGTAGCAGGTGTCTGTAATCCCAGCTACTTCAGGGGCTGAGGCAGGAGAATAGCTTGAGCGTGGGAGGTGGAGGTTGCAGTGAGCCGAGATCGCACCATGGCACTCTAGCCTGCGTGACAACAGCAAGACTCTATCTCAAAAAAAAAAAAAAAATCTTCCTATACAGGGACACATCAAAGGAAATAAAGATAATGGTATAGCTCAGTTTGTAAATTTTTCCTAAGTTTTTGAATGTTATATATGAAATATTAAAAATGAAAAAGTATACTACTTAGTAAAGCCAACAGTTTAGACCCTCACAGTAATCTTCTTAAGTATCATTATCTCAATTTCACTGATAGAGACATTGAAGCTCAGCGATTTCTACCCAAGATCACACAGCTGGTGTCAGAACACTCTGGCTCCAATGCTGTCAACAATTTGTTCTATGAACTTGGTCAAAATACTTCATTTATTATTTTCTGTTTTCTTCTTATATAGAAATCATGTCTTTATATTCCATATATCTCATTATAATAGCCATATAATAAAATTAAGATGAGGTCAGGTGCAGTGGCTGACACCTATAATCTTAGCACTTGGAGCAGCTGAGGCAGGAGGATTGCTTGAGTCCAGGAGTTTGAGACCAGCCTGGGCAACATAGCGAGACCCCCATCTCCATTTCTTTAAAAAATAATAAAATAAAATCAATATGAAAGCGTTTATAAAATGCTAAAGTAATACAACATACAAAGATACGTAATTATATATAATGAAGCGTTTCTCCATGGAAGGGGAAAGGGCCAGTGAAACTCTGGATGTTTTTCAGCAATTGCAACCTTTTTTTCTGTAGAGGCCAAATCAAACCAAAAATACAGACAGTGCTCAATTCATCTCCGAGGGCAGTCAAAATGAACCACATTCCATCTTCTATCTTCTTTTCTTCCCACATGTTTTTCCCTATTTCATGCCAATTTCACACCATAATTCCATAATTCCTCAACACTCTAGTACTCTTCTTCATCTGTGGCTTTTCTCTGTTCTTATATTCTCTTACCCACATGGACTCTTTGCTCATCTCTCTAAATACCTGACTTATTTACTATCCTCTCATGACTTTCAATGACTTTCCAAACAAAGAAAGAAAGAAAGAAAGAAATCTGCTTATTTTCTCCATCTTCATTCTTAGATTTCCTTCTTAATTATATACACTTAACCACAGATAAGGCCAAAGACTTTAAACCAAAATCAAAAATCACACGAACCTTTGTTTGCATGTATAAATTAGAGATAAATTAAGATCTCATTTATTCTATAGCCTCTTTGTGAGTGCTAACATGCAATGAGCTGGAAGTGGAACATGCTAACCACAGAGCTAATACAACTCAATCTGAATATTGGCAGTCAGCCAGGTAGTTATTTTAGAGAATGAAATTAAAAGCACATTTTAAGGAAGAAGGTTAATTTCTACTTGTTTAGATCACACTTTTAGGCAACAGAAGTGAACAGAAGCCTTTAATCTTTGACAAAATTAAGTGTTAGTATTGACCTAAAATTAGGGATTTATATCTTAAAAAGATAAATATAATGTAAACATATTGCAAGTCATGCTATAGAATATTAAGAGATTTAAAAATAAATAACACTGTTAGAAAAGAAAATTTTACAATAAAAAAGGAGGGCCTGACCTCTGCAAAAGCAATTCCTGGATTTTCACTTGCCACTTCTTTGGCATCTTTAAGTTCTTCCTTTGCACTGTTCGCTTTCTGTTGACCCACAAGTTGCTACTGTCTTTAACATACATCATTTCCCCTACCAGTTTGCCTCAAACCACTGCCCTCTCTTTCCATTTCTGTTTACCACTCAGCTCTGAGAAAGATTACTCTGTGTCCTCTGCCTCTGTTTTCTCAACCACCTCACTCCCATAAAAAGTAACTTCTGCCCCTCCACCCTACTGAAATCACAAAGGATCATCAGGCCTGCCAGAACCTCTTCTCCATTCTCCACATCATGGTGGCCTTCACATTACTAACTCCTTTCTCCTTTCCTACAGCCTTTCCAACTGACTTCTCTTCCTATTCGTGTCTGGATTCCTTTAAAACTCTCAATCCTTCTGTCTCTCTTGCTCCATCGTTTTTTGTACAGTTCCAAATGAAACATAATGACCAGATTTTCCTCCTTTGTCCCTTTTTTGTCTTTCATTTTTCCTCTTGAGGATCAGGTCCCCACTCTGTGGAAGCTCTTTCCCCCATTCTTATGAAACTGGTTCCTTCCCATTTGTCAAACCTCAGTTTAAATACAACTTTTTATAGGCCTTTGTTAGCATTCATATCTAAATTTGTTTTTCCATATCCCACCAAACACAAACATACCATTAGTCTATAGCACAGTACATTTCCTTCACAGTACTTATCATAATTTATAATTACAAATATATATACTTGCTTATTTCTTGCCTTTCTCTTCATTAAGCACAGAGGCCACATCTGTTTTGTTCACTACTGTATACCTGGCACACTGAAGACATTTACAAAATAACCAGCGAATAACTGAATACGTGATCTTATTCATTCCTATTGTATCAACTCTTATAAACGAAAGACTTTTAAAGATTGCTACTCCATCCTTGTCTCCAGAATTCCAAGTACAACTTTGTAACAAACTGCTTGACATTTACATGTGAAGCTCACCCTACAAGTAAAATTCATTATGGTGAAAATTCGACTTACACACTACCATTTTCTTTGCATAAAACTATGTTAATATCTCAAACATAGCATACATTATAATCTGCTTTATTGTTATTTTCCTACTTGAGGTCATGAATTATCCTGTGTTCATCTTTGCATTCCTCCTAGCACATAGCTCAGTCTATGTATTAACCAAGTACTAAGAAAATGTCAAGGCACTGCTTCCAAGAATCCAAAGTCAACTAAATATTAACTTACCTTCCAGCTCCAAGCTCTGTCATTGCTATAGCACCAATACATTTGCCTGCAGTCATCTGGGGAATAAAGTGCTTAATCTGTTCTTCTGAGCCATAGTTTGTAATATAGGACATGACAATACCTGAATGAACACTAAAACCTGGGCCTGAACAATTTGAGTAAGCTCTTAGAATGAAAAAAGAAGAAAAATTAGAGCATAAACTAGCAATTAAAAAATGACTATTATAACAACAACGTATTAAAGATCCTGTCAAACTGTTTGGTAGTGGCCTGTCTCATCACAAACCTATGACATTTCTGACTGTGTTCTCTCTCTTTTTTTTTTTTACTAATTTTAAAATTTCTGGTTTCAACACAATCACAGTGCTAAACAGAGTTCAATGAACACTTATTTAATTGAGAGATAAAATATTTTAAAATATGAATCACCTGCAGTTACATTCCTCTAACACAGTGGAATAATAACTGTATTCCTCTAACGGCCTTTGCCATGAGGATATCTTCTAATAAGATGGAGTCTTGGTAAAACAAAGAAACAAAAGAACAAAAATAAAAAAGCAAAAAATAGAAAAAAAGAAAAACAGAACAAAACAAAACATGGAGTCATGGAGTGAATTGTGTACTTTGCTATTTTCTTTTAAAATTATGACACACATACACACACAAATAAAAATTTAAAATTTAAAAATAAATTCTATGACACAACAAAATCCTGTTTTTTCTTAGTAGATTTTAATCTGAAATAGCTGCAAAATATTACAAGTTGTTTATGTACCATAATTTACTTATCCATTCTCCCACTGCTGGACATTTAGATTGCTTCAACATGTGGAGAACTGTGACCTAATATGACAATGATTTCTGAACACAGCATCTATATTTCCTAGTAAATTATTTCCTTAAAATGAATTCCCCAAAGTAGCATTCTATGTCAAAAAGCAGGAACATATTTTTTAAATATGTTTTCACCTTTTTAATCCCCCCCAAAATTTATTGTTCTAATTTATAAAGCCATCAATAGTGTGTCACTTTCACTGCAATCTTGTCAGCCCTGGGTATTAGGATTTTTCATTTTCACTAATTTTATAGATACTTAAAATGATACCTCCAGATAAGCTTAATTTGCATTTGTTGGTAAGGATGAAGTTTTCTCATTAAAAAAAACTTATTTGCATTTCTTTTTTGATGAATTATTGCTTCAAATTCTTTGCCCATTTTTCAACTGCAATCTTTATTTGCTCTTATATATTAAAATTCTAGTATATTTGATGGAAACATTTTTCTACTCCGCTGTTCTCTTTCAAATATCTTTTCTAAGGGCAAAAAGTAATCGTAAGCATTGACAGGAAAAAAAAAAAGATATCTTTAATTTTCAATAGCACCTATTTCAGCAACTTAAAAGGATTTTCTTATTATCCCACATTCAAAAAATGTATAAGAGTGCATGAGTGGTATAGTCCTTTACATTTTACACTGAATTTTCAATCTTCCAAGATTAGAAAACATTTTTTTTTTTGGTCATTTCAGAAAGTTGAGTGGTGTGTTTACAAAACAAGACTCAGCCTTAAAGCTCTCCATACTTACTGCTCCTCCCAGACAACAGCTGCGTAGTACAAATCCCCTCCAATTCCACCAAGATGCTCTGCAATATTGACACCAAGCAGTCCTTGTTTTCCAGCTTTTTCCCAAACCTCCCTACTTACTTCTCCAGCTTTCTCCCATCTGCAAATAACAAATATTTTAAAATCAGAGATTTTTTCATATTATTTAAATGGCTACAACTTTGAACTTATGAATGATTTTGTGCAGAAATGCATTCTTAATTTAAGGTAATTATTTACATTAGCCATATACTTCTATTTGACGCTGACTCTTTGATCACTTCTTTTCCTCCTTTTTTCTGCTTTTTTTTTTTTTGAGACAGGGCTGTCACCCAGGTTGGTGTGCAGTGGCACAATCATGGATCACTGAAGCCTCAAAATTCTGGGTTCAAGCAATCTTCCCACCTCAGCCTCTTGAGCAGCTGAGACTTCAGGCACATGCCACAAGGCCAAAAAAAAATTTTCTTTTGTAGAGATGGGGTCTTATTATGTTGCCCAGGCTGGTCGTGAACTCTTGGCCTCAAGCAGTCCTCAAACCTTAGCCTCCCAAAGCGCTAGGATTACAGGTATGAGCCACTGCACCCAGCCCTCTCCTCTTATTTGTATTTGCCATTATCTTTCCCCATCTTGACTATTTATTGGACTTGAAAATTATACCCACTGATGTAGTTTTGCTCAGCTAGTACTCTTACATGCAAGCTTAGTTATGGCATGTCGTCATGGGAATCTGCCTAACCTGTATTGTAAGAGGCAATTCTCCTTGGCATATTTCCTTAAAGTGCTGAACTTATGGGACAAGCATATAGAAGCTGACAAAATAGGGAACCTCATTATAGTTTAGGAAGAACAGGAGAGCAGAAGCACCTCGCACTATAGCTCTATATCAAATGAACTTCTGAAAACATTAGACATTTGTGTAAGATAGGCAACCTCAGCTTTTCTTCTTTAAAAATGAGAATGGCAGAATGAGGAAACAGATGGCTAGCTGGAGATAGTGAAAAAATATCGGAGAATTTTTGTATTTTTAAGTGGATTATAGTGAGACATGGGGTATTTGAAGATACTGATTGAAGGTAATTAGAGACACTACAAAAATTTTTAAGAGTTGGATTACCATGTGTGTTTTGAATGCAGTTGTTGCCTAAAGTAGCTTTGGAAATATTTTTATTATTGACTTAAAATTTGTCAGCTCCTGTTATTTTATTTCAAAGCCTTCTCAAGATTTTTTCTAGAACAAAATTTAAAAGCACTGAAGAAATAAACAAAAGAGATTGTACCAGAGCAAAGTGTACCATGTCTCTCTTGTCTATAAGAAGCTAGTTGAAGCCTGATGCAGTGGTTCACACCTGTAATCCCAGCACTTTGGGAGGCTGAGGCAGGATTGCTTGAGTTCAAGGCTGCAGTGAGCTATGATCACATCCCTGCACCCCAGCCTCAGCAAGAGAGTGAGACCATGTCTTAAAAAACAAACACACAAACAAACAAAACCCCCCAAAACAGAAGCTAGTCGCTTTTCACCAAAGACTAGTTATGGCTTCTGGCTTCTGAGTTTAGCTTATTTTGGTCATTCTTACCAAGAAGGTATTAGTAAAAACCTAATGGAAGTTACTTTTAATGCTATTTAAAAACCATTCTAAATGTTGTAAAATACAGATGTCTCTGACTTATGACAGTTCAACTTACAATTTTTTTACTTATGATGGTGAAAAAGCAATACACATTCAGTTGAAAACATGCTTACTTCAAGTATCCATATAACCGTTTTGTTTTTCACTTTCATTAGAATATTTAATACACTACATGAGTTATTTAATACTTTATTACAACATGGACATTGTGTTAGATGATTTTGCCTAACTGTAGGCTTATGTAATTGTTCTGAGCATGTTTAATGTAGGCTGGCCTAAACTATGGCGTGTAGTAGGCTAGGTGTGTAAAACCTCACAAACCTATGATGTTCCTGAACCATTTCTCTCTTCATTTTTACTAATCTTCTAATTTCTGCTTCTAATATAACTGTGCTGAGATTTTTTTGTTCTTATAACATAAATAACAGTGTTAACATAATAACAATGCATTTTTGACTTATGATATTTTCAACTTGTAACCCCTATTAAATTGAGGAGCATCTGTACTGGCATTGAGTGAATTTTGGAAATGAAGCAAAATCTTATTGTAATAGAAATGATAAGTTTCTGATCAATAAAATAATAGTAACTAGTTAATCAAGAAATATCCAGAGGTAACCAATTCTTACCAAGGTTTGCATTATGCTGACTTTTTGTGTTTTTACAGTTTAATTAATTCATGAAGCAGAAAAAGAAAGAGTAAGAAACTGACTAGTATTTTGTTGCCAGTTACCCATGGTTTTCAAAAATACTACTCTTAGACTAAGTTGCAAATTTTTCAATTTTATTTTTTGTGTATAGTACATTTTACAATTCATTTTAAAAGCTGCAAGAATCCTGGGATCTTATAGTGTTACAGTGAAGAGCAGTGAAAATGTTAATAAAGCCCTGAACATACTATGTTTTCTGTATAGTAATATATGGCATTCTAGGAAATGGTCCTATCACACCCCTAGTGTACATTTCATTAGAGGGAAATGTGCCACTTACTCTGAGTGATGAGGAATCACTTCTTCTTGGAAAAACTTCCTTATACTTTTCCGGAAAATGTCATGCTTTGAAGAAAAGATTCTTCGAATTCCTATATCTGTTAAGTTTTTAGCAGAAGGAGTTTCTAGACGTTCTTCCCCTCCAGAATGAGAACATCTTAAAAAATATATGTGCAGTAGGAAAAGTAAGTGAATTGTTACTCTTCATATCCGAATTAATACCACTGAACAACATGGATTTCTTTCACAGAGAAACTTGAGAGGCGAGTAGAGAGTTTGAATTATGACAAACCTGGGTTCAAATTTGAGTGCCACCACTTTTGATGGGATCTACCTCATATAGCTGGAATTAAGAAGTACCTTATCATTATTCAACTCAGTCTCCATCTCCAAATCCTTAAAGAAGATGATGCCTAGAACTAACCACAGATCTGACTTGAGGTGAAATGCAGTACTGTCATGTGACATATGGATTACATTATGTAAAGTTCAAATAGTACAATAGAGTAATACTGATAAATTTTCATATCATGTACAATGTTTAAAATAATGCAAAGCTTCCAAAATTAGTATTTTAACCAGAATCACACAATTTCAAATTGCAGGTGTATAAGATGCAAACTGTGTTGATGTAATTGCCACATTACAAAGACAATCTGGGTGGAGATAAAAATACTCATCAATCTCTGATAAAGATTCTGTAAAATGGAATTATTTAGGACCTACTCCCATCCCTCCCACACTGAGCTTAAAATGAGACTGCTCTGTAGTTCCTTTAGTTCAGTGGTCTTCAGCTTTTTTTCCCTTGAAGTACCCCTGAAAGAAATTTTGAAAATCTATGCATCATTTTGTACATTTTCAAGTTCACATCTAAAAAACTTATCATATATTCAAATCTTGCCAAAGGATGTTTTTTCTATTTTGCATTAAATTCTGATTTAGTGTATTTCTTCCTTAATTGGACTCTGCCTTTTCTTTTCTAGTCCTTATCCAGAAAAGATCTATTTCATGTAATTAATCAAAGTAGACTTAAAGCGTTTTTTAAAAAAATAACTCTACTATTACATGTTTCTTTCCTTTTATTTTTTAATGAGACGGAGTCTGGCTCTGTCGCCCAGGCTGGAATGCAGTGGCACAATCTTGGCTCACTGCAACCTTCGCCTTCCTGGTTCAAGCCATTCTTCTACCTCAGCCTCTGGAGTAGCTGGGATTGCAGGTGCTGCCACCACACCCAGCCAATTTTTGTATTTTTAGTAGAGTTTCACCATGTTGACCAGGTTGCTTTTGAATTCCTGATCTCAAGTGATACACCCATGTTGGCCTTCAAAGGGCTGGGACTACAGGCATGAGCTACTGCACCCAGTCGCTATTACAACCTATTTCTAAGGTTTCCCTAATTATCATGTTTTTAGTGGCTTATTCATTCATTTAGTTAGCAAATATTAGTACTGAGTGCCAATTCTGTGCCAGGCACTGTTCTAGTAACTCGGGATACAATAATGAACAAAGGACTAAGATGAGGACAAAGATCTTGGCTTTTAAGCTTACATTCTAACAAAGGGAGACTGAATAAACAACAAACAATAAATAAGCAAATTATATAATACCATAGAAGGTGATAAGTATTATGGAAAAAGAAAAGTAGAGAAGGTATCAGGAGTATCTGGCTGGGGGGAGGCAGAGACAGAGGTTGCTGTATGAAATAATGTAGTAGGCTTGGCTTGGTGGCTCACACCTGTAATCCCAGCACTTTGGGAGGCTGAGACATGAGGATTGCTTGAGCTGAGGAGTTTGAAACCAGTCTGGGCAACATAGCGAGCCCCTGTCACTAAAAACAAAACAAAACAAAACAAAAAAAAAAAAGAAGGAAAAAAAATACTGCAGTCAGGGTAGGTCAAACCAGAAAGGTGAGATTTGAGCAAACCCTTGAAGGTGATAGAGTTAGCCAGGCATACCTCTAGAATAAAATAATTTTAGGATAAAAGAACAACTAGAGCAAAGGCTGTATGTCTGAATCGTGTCGGATGTGTTCTAGAAAGAGCAAGAAGGCAAGTGTAGCCAGAGTGGGCTGAGAAGAGTAGATGAGGTCAGAGATTCTAGGAAGAAGAGATAACAAGGGACCAAGACATGCAGGGGAGCTTGACCATTGTCCTGTTGCATTAAATAAACTAACATTTACTTTATCCCTATACTGGAAATGATCGACTCCTTTTTCTTGCTAGTAGAGATAAAACTATAAAGCACGTATTTGTCCATATAGATTTTCCATACTAGAGAGTTTTCCTCAGGAAAAAACTATGCTGAGATTAGGAAACTGGGGCCGTAAGACATCGAATCATTTGTCAACATAATAAGTAAATAATAGAGCCAGAATTTAAAACCGAGTCTTACTGGATCTTAAAATTGAATAGCCTATCCTGTGTTAAGGAAATATCTGCAATATTTTTAAGTAAAATACATTAAGACACAGGAAAGCAAAAGAAATGCCAAAACAATAAAGACTTTCAGGTCAGTCAAAGGTGGTCAGGAGAGAATATGCAGAGGGAAGAAAATCAAAACACGTGGCGGCAAGTTTATTGCAACATGTATTTCTTAATCTAAAGATGAAGAAATCTGTAATGGAAAAATTGGCATTTTTTCCTCTAAGGCAATAAACTGCAACTAATCTTATTTGCTAGGCTATAATGTTTTTTAAGCCTCCTTTACATTTTAAAAGGGAGACAATCTCCACCAGCACCTTCCACACACCTGGAAGCTGGTTTTAAAGACACAGTCTCAGGCCCCATGCCAGACCCACCGAATCAGAAGCTGTATTTTAACAAGATTTCCAAGGGATTCCTTTGCACATTAAAGGTCAAAAAGCTGTTACAACCAAACTGTAGCCCCCCAGCCCATTCAGAGGGTCTCTTAAGTCTCCCTTTTTCCAGTGTTCTCTATTTGAGGGTAGATTTTCTTGCCATGCTTCAATCAAACTTACGCCAATGGATAAATACAGAAGCAGATACAATTATCTGGTTATCTTTTACTAAGCCAGACATTAAGGGAGTTGTAAAAATGTAAAACAATGTCACTCTTTTCACTTTTTTTCTGTTTAGGAAAAGTTATTTTTCATAAAAACTGTTATTTATGTTAATATGTAATGAGATTATTGTAACTTTTAAATAAACTAAATATTTGTAAAGTTTCTCAGTTTTGTAGACACCCTTTGATAACGACATAAGATAGATATAATCTACATAAACAAAAGTTCTTTGAGGTCCTCTAAGTTTGAGAGCATCAGGAGTCCTGTTATTAAAAAGTTTGAGGCAGCACTTTGGGAGGCTGAGGCGGGCAGATCACGAGCTCAGGAGTTCGAGACCAGCCTAGTCAATATAGTGAAATCTCCGTCTCTACTAAAAGAAATACAAAAATTAGCAGGGCTTGGTGGCACGCGCCTGTAGCCCCAGCTACTCAGGAAAGCTAAGGCAGGAGAATCGCTTGAACCCGGGAGGCAGAGGTTGCAGCACTGAGCGGAGATCGCGCCACTGCATTCCAGCCTGGGCGACAGAGTGAGACTTCGTCTCATAAATAAATAAATAAATAAATAAATAAAATAAAACAAACAAAAGTTTGAGGATCACTGTCTTATAATGTTCCAGGTAAGAGTTAATTATGTATCCTAAAGAAAAGTCACCTTCTCAGTGAAGTCTTCCCAAACCTCCCCAGGAATACTAGGCATTTTGTTTCACAGCTCTCAAAGAAAATTAGAGTACCTTACACCAATGCTGTCATTCGCAAATTTCCCAGTTCCTTCACCCTTATTAAATAATGAATTCTCCATGCTTTCAATTTGTTTACCCAGTGAATAGATTTTGTTTCAGACGGTATCTGAAACTTTTGATCATATTATGAACACCACTTTAAGAATCACTGAGCCACTTAGACCTTAGACTTTCTCTTCATTAATCCTCTGTATTTAAAGTATTTGTTGATAAATCTAAACCTAATTTCCTTGTTTGATGGAACCCTCGCCAAGTCATTTCTATCCCAGCTTGCCCTGGACACTTCTGGTCTGCGCCGCAGCCCGGGCACCGTGTCCGGGTCCCAAGTTCACTACCGCGCGGCGAGTCTAAGCCGTGGGGAACCACGGGTTCATAGCTCGAACTGGGACATAGATCGCAGCCCGCGCTCCTGCAGCCGGGCCCAGTGGGTGACCACCTCCTCCCAAAACGCAGGCTCCCGGGTCCCACTGCAGGCCGCTGAACTAGACGGGCTGGAATGGGGCTCCGGAATGAGCTTCTGGAGAAATCTTTTGGCTTTCCCCGACGTGGCCTCGCACGGGTGACACCCCTTTTTCCTCCGCCCCGCAGCTGGTTGCACCCAGTCCGCGGGATCCGGGAAACCAGGCCAGCTCTAGCCCCGCGCCGGAGTTGGGGAGCACTCCCAGCCGCGCGCGCCCCGCCCCGCCTCAAGCCAGCGACAGGAGTGACTCGCTGCCTCGCCCCGCAGCCTCCCGGCCTGCAGCCGCGGAAGTCCCGGCTGCCACTCACCGCACGGCGGGCAGCGGGCGCGCCGCACAGTGGCCGCTCAGGAAGCGTAGGGACCCTCGGAGGAGGCGCGCGGCCATGGCCAGAACACTAGGGGCGGCGGGGCGACGGATGCGACTCTGCGGCTACTCGGCGACTCGGGGCAGGGCCCCCGGGAAGGAGGACGGTCGGCTGAGGCGTCCACGTGTGGTGTCCTCCCAAATAAACGCTCGCACACGCCCTGATAAAGGCGCCGCGCGCGCCCTCCCAGAGCCCCAACAACGCCACAGGCTGGTAGCGAGGCAACACGGCCCTCTTATATGTCAACAATAGGATTTTACAGCGAAACTGCTGCCTTTGCTTGCAGCATTCTTTCTTGTTTATCGAAGCAGCTCTGAGCCTCTTTAGGGTCCTGAAGCGCTTTGAGTAATGGATGAAAGCTATGGAGCCCCCACATACGCCAAATACCTAACCATAAAAATGTACATGAAGTTGGCCGGGTGCGGTGGCTCACACCTGTAATCCCAGCACTTTGGGAGGCCAAGCTGAGTGGATCACGAGGTCAGGAGTTCGAGACCACCCTGGCTAACACAGTGACACCCCGTCTCTACTAAAAATACAAAAAATTAGTTGGGCGTGGTGGCAGGAGTCTGTAGTTCCAGCTACTCGGGAGGCTAAGGCAGGAGAATGGCGTGAACCCGGGAGGCGGAGCTTGCAGTGAGCCGAGATCTACTCCAGCCTGGGCGACAGAGCGAGACTCCGTCTCAGGAAAAAAAAAAAGAAAAAAGTACATGAAGTTTATTTTGTAACGTTGGAAATTGATTTACTTAAAGTAGGCAACTATTTAAATTCTGGTTTCAAAGAATTGTACCCTTTTCATTTTTTTCTTAAAAAAATTAGTGGCTACCTGCTGAAAAAAATTAAAATATATGTAGTATGCAAATAAAAACCGTCACGTTAGTTCAGTTTTCCAATAATACTTGACTTGAATTCAGATCTTGCCATTACTTTTTCATTTAAGTCACCAATGGTGTTTAATAATCTACATTTCATTTCAGTGAAGTCTGAGCTCTTGAAATTTTTTTTAAATAGAAAATACCTGAAGATTTTTGAACTCTAAAGAATGTGCAGAGTGGATTTCAAAGGAAGTAAAGCAAGAGGTTAAGGCCATTTTACTAATCAAGGACAGTTACTATGGACTTGAAATGGTAGAAGTGAAAAAGAGGTATTTTGCATTGGAAATCAACAACTAACTAACTGAATGTAGAACATAAAGAGGAAGTTTTAAAAAGAAAGTTTGACCAGGCAGGCGACTCATGCCTGTAATCCCAGCACTTTGGGAGACCAAGGCAGGAGAATAGTTTGAGGTTCTAAGTTCAAAACCAGCTTGGGCAACACGGGGAGACCCTATCTTTATAAAATAAATAAAAAGAAAGATTTAATTATAAACAATTAGAAGAATGTGAATATTTTTAGTTGGCAGAGGCTCGAGCACAAGCCTCCATCAGTCTCGCTGGAATTCTGGACTTACGACCTACCATCCCTACTCTACCATCTGTAGTGTGTGACAGGGGATGCTGGCTCATGGGACCAAACAGAGGCAGGATAGGTAGGAAAGGAAGTAGCCATGTCCTCTAAAAGCAGTGGCTGTGACAACCGAACCTTCAACACAAGAAGCCCCAGCATTTGCACTGTAGTAAGCTCATTCAAGCAAAACTATCTCCAGTGGAGAATGTCCCCCGTAGAGAGCATGAGCCTTTTGATTGACCTGTCCTCAGACTGACGCTTTTACTCATTATAATAGTAAAAAACACACCCCGGGATGGAGATTTAAGATGCTAATAAGACATGAGATGTATGAACAAGCATGTAAAGCTACTGCACATGTGCACCCAGAGGACCACCCGGAACATGCTTACTAATGGCACTTCTTCTCACTCCTTTATGAAAAATCATATAAGACTCCCATAAAGGGAGTTTCCCCAGTAACAGTCAACCTTGTCTCCTCCTCACCAGAAGCCTTCTCTGAATCATCTTTCAGGGTGTACTGTCTATTCTGCACCTAACCCTCAGAATATTCTTTCTCCTTTGCAATGAATCCTTCCATGCTGAATCTCCTTTGCTGCCTGTCTCTTGTTTAAATTCTCTTAAACTACAAAGACAAGAATGGAGGTTTCACAACAGTTGTTAACAAAACTCTTGGCTGATCAAGTAACCTACCAGTGTAGGGGCAATAAGGGACCTGTAAAGGAGCATACAAAACTATTTTTCTCTCTCTTCATACTCAATACACTCCACTTCAGTGACCAAAATATGTGGAATTTTTTCCGTCCACATAACAAGAAATTTTCCAGAGGACACCAACTTGATGTCCTATAATTCAATTAAATTCAATCCTGATGCCACTTACCTGGAGTAGTGTCAGATTCCACAAGCTAAAGGCTCCATTACACAAGACTACCCCCACTTACGCCAATGGCAAGTCCCAGGTTGTGCCCCCTACTTCTGACCGACCAGCTATGAATTAGGGTTCCCACAACGCTTTCTCCGTGTGTTCCATAATTTTCCAAGATGGCTCACAGAACTCAGGGAAACACTTTACTGTGTTTGCCAGTTTATTATAAAGGATCTAACTGAGGAATAGCCATATGGAAGAGATGCATAAAGGAAGGTACCGGGTGGGGGTGGGAGGAGTAGGGGCTGCGAAGCCTTCAAGTTCATAAAATCTCGTTTTTAGAGAGCTTAATGTCCACCTCCTCTGCTTTTCTGGAGATTGGTGGGTGAGGCTGTAAATTCCAACCCTCTAATCTTCTAACCTCTTAATTTTCTGATGACCAGCCTCAGTCTGGGCTGGCTAGGGGCCCACCCTAAGTCACCTCATTAGCATAAACTCAAGTGTTAGGACCCGGGCTCATTATAAGTAACTAAAGACATTCCTATCATTCAGGAAATTTCGAGAGTTTTACGAACTCTGTAACAGGAACCAGGAACAAAGACCAAATATATTTCATGTTATACCACAGAACCCTTCTCCTGCATGGTCTTGCTGAGCCTCTAAAAAATGAGGATGATAATAAAAACTACTTTAGTGCGCCTAAGTATGTTCTGACAGTCACTATCAGCAACAGCACCTGTTGAATCAGAATTCCCGATGATGAGGTAGAGGATTCTGTGTTATTAACAAGTCTCACAGATGACTCATGTACACTAAAGTGTGAGAAGTGTGGACCACTTCTAAAGTTGCTTTCAGTGACTAACAAGATATTTCGTGTAAATGCACAGCACTGGGCTTGGCACATAACACTCAGAAAATGTTAGCTGTTTCTATTCTTCTCCACTTACATACTCACAAGCCTTCCTTGTCTTTTCAGGTGATCGTCACTTTTAACAATGGCCTTTTATAATCAATTAGGGAAAAATCAGGTTTTCTGTTTGTGTTTTTGTTTTTTCTAATTCAAATATTGGCTTTAGGCTAGGCACCATGACTGACACCTGTAATTCCAGCACTTTGGGAGGCCAAGGGTGGTGGGGGTGGGGGGGTGGATCACTTGAGGTCAGGAATTCGAGACCAGCCTGGCCAACATGGTGAAACCCTGTCTTTACTAAAATCACAAAAATTAGCCAGGTGTGGTGGCATGCACCTGTAATCCCAGGTACTCCAGAGGCTGAGGAACAAGAATCATTTGACACCTGGAGGCAGAGGTTGCAGTGAGCCGAGATGGTGCCACTGCATTCCATCCTGGGTGACAGAGAAGACTGTCTGAAAACAAAAAACATACAAACAAAAACAAACAAAACAAATAACTGACTTTAATCATGATTTTTCAGATCAAGTAAGAGTGCTGAAGCAGAACTGTAGGGGAAATAATTGGACACCCCAGCCTTTGTGATGCTCCTCAAATCAATGTTGGTAGCCATGTTTCTAGCCTGTGAGTAGGGTCAGCGATGCCCATGTAGATGACAGAGGCAAGATTCTTCTACAGACTTTAAGAATTGCTGCTAATGTCCTTAGGAAATACATGTAAGATTCCCCAAGTCTCCTCATTTTAGAGAAAGTACAGTCCCTCCTCAGAATCCACAGGTTCCACATCCAAGGATTCAACCAATCTTGGATCAAAAATTCTCCCATGTCAGCCTCCCAAAGTCCTGGGATTACAGGCGTGAGCCAACACACCCAGCCTGCTTTTAGGTTTTTCAATGGTAGAATTGGTATATTGTTGGGGTGGCCAGACCCAATACCAGCTCATGGGGGTGATGAAGTCTGGCGGAGTCAAAGGATTGAGAAAAGACAGTTTGAGAGACAGAAGTGGGACCAGGGGCCGTTGCAATCATGGAGGCTGCGAAGGCTGAGCTCTGGAAGCCCAAGCTATTTATTGGTAATCCAACAGAGAAACAAGTGGTGAGAACATGAGGGTCAAAAAGGCAAGCACATGATCTACAGCTGTGACGGTATAGCATTTATATGGAACATGTTCTGCTACTTGAGATAATGGGAATAGAAGCCTAGGAGGGCTAGAAGCAAGGAGCCAGCAAGTCTAGACACATTCCAGAAGACATGTCAGTCATGCAAGCCCTGCCTCAGCTTTTTTCCCAACATGCCCCACTTCTCTTTTTTGTAAAAGAGAAGGTATCATTATTAGTATAATCATTACTAGCTATCATTCTTACTAGAGTCGTTCTGGTTTGAATGCTTCCCATATATCTCCCCTTTCCCTTTTACAACCCTTAGTCCTAGGGGTTGCAGAAGGATGAAGGTCCGTCTTCTATAACTTCCTCATGCTGAATAGGGGTGATGATATTCCTGCCTAGCTATTAGGGTCTCTTGTATTCGTGGTAGAGAGGAGCTGAGTCAGAAAGCATTGGTCCCTTAAGCATTGTGACTCCGGTCTGTGTTTGTTCCATCTTCGCATTCAGATTTAACTGGCTCATGGCTTGTACTGGGGGAACCCAGTCCATGGTTGGGATCTGTGGGTCCCTCCAGTCTCCTGTTCTGTGGTCGTACACATCTTGAGGGCATCCACATGGTTCATTCATCTCCTGCAAAAACACAAGCATACCCCTCACCCCCACAGTAGTAAATCTACTGGAACAGAACAAAAATTTTTGTGACTGTAGCCAGGAGACCACTGAAAATGAGAAAAAGGCCCCTTCTAACAGAAGGCACGGGGAAAGCAAAGAGAGTCTTTTCAAACCTTCAATTCACACTGTACAGGTGGGTCTACTAGATGCTGTGGCTCACGATAGATCTTCAGATGTTTGGTGCGCACCCCTACAGGCACCTGATTGTCTTCTGGAGAGACACAAGCAAATCCTCTTCCCCATATAATTATCTTTCCTTTTTCCTAGCT